GCTCGGCTAGTAGGGAGGGGAGGGCGGCGCCGGGCAGGGGGCCCAGGGGCCACAGGGGGCCCGTGCCCTGTGGCTGATGAGACACCCCCAACATCAGCCAGTGACTCAGGCTCCTCACAATCAGATTCTGATGTTCCACCAGAAACTGAGGAGTGCCCATCCATCACAGCTGAGGCAGCTCTTGACTCAGATGAAGATGGGGACTTCCTGCCTGTGGACAAAGCTGGAGGGGTCAGTGGGACTCACCATCCCAGGCCTGGCCATGACCCACCCCCTATCCCTCAGCCAGACCCCCGCCCATCCCCTCCTCGCCCTGATGTGTGCATGGCTGACCCTGAGGGGCTCAGCTCAGAATCTGGAAGGGTAGAAAAACTACGTGAGAAGGAGAAAGCACAGGGGAGAGTAGGGCGCAGGGCCCCAGGCAGGGGCAAGCCAGCATCTCCTGCCCGGCGTCTGGATCTTCGGGGAAAACGCTCACCCACCCCTGGTAAAGGGCCCGCAGATCGAGCATCCCGGGTCCCACCCCGACCACGCAGCACTCCAAGCCAAGTCACCCCAGCGGAGGAAAAGGATGGACACAGCCCCATGTCCAAAGGCCTAGTCAATGGACTCAAGGCAGGATCATGTAAGTATAACATGAAAAGTTAGAGATTGTGGGTTGGGGTTGGGTGTGGCTGGTCAAAGACTCCAGGAGTAGGAGAAACTGTGGAAGATTGCTAAAAGTGTCTACTTTACCTCTCCAATGAGTCCTGGCTTGTCTCTACAGCGGCCTTGGGTTCCAAGGGCAGCTCTGGCTCCCCTGTATACGTGGATCTCGCCTATATCCCGAATCATTGCAGTGGCAAGACTGCTGACCTTGACTTCTTCCGTCGAGTGCGTGCATCCTACTATGTGGTCAGTGGGAATGACCCTGTCAATGGCGAGCCGAGCCGGGCTGTGCTGGATGCCCTGCTGGAGGGCAAGGCCCAATGGGGGGAGAATCTTCAGGTGAGTGGCAAGGGATGCCAAGGAGGAGGTCTGGTCAAAGCTTACTCAGTGGAACACAGTCTCTATTCATAAAAGAACTGAACCCTTTCTATGGGCAGTGGGACTACTTCCTAGACCATCAAGTGTGATGCCCCATCCCCCTCACTTACCTTCCCTTCATAATGTCACATCAGGCATGTCTTGTCTCCCTCCTAGGTGACTCTAATCCCTACCCATGACACGGAGGTGACTCGTGAATGGTACCAGCAGACTCATGAGCAGCAGCAACAACTGAATGTTCTGGTCCTGGCTAGCAGCAGCACCGTGGTCATGCAAGATGAATCCTTTCCAGCCTGCAAGATTGAGTTCTGAAAGAACCACACTCCTTTCCCCAGGAATCTGCTTCCCCAGCTCCCTTAGAGAATGGCTATTGCTGAGTCCGTTGGGGTTGAGGGACACGGGAGCTGGGGTGGGGGAGACGGGGCGGGATGTCTTGTTGTGGGAATTTGGGCTGGGTTAAATGGGAGAGGTTGTCCCTCCCCCTCATCCATACCCAACGGGATTTTCAAAACCAAAGGCAACAGGGATTGGATAGAGGGAGGGCACGAAATTAGGATAGGAGGTCATCTGATGCCTGAGAACTCTGGAGTGACACCCTCTCCTAACACTACCAAATGTTCGTATTGGGTGGGAAGGAAGGATGGGTCTCAGCAACCTCCTCCCTCATGGAGGCAGATCATATATCCCCAAGCCCAGGGACCTCTTTATCTCTATTTAGCAACCCAAGGAAGAATTTCCAGTAATAATTTATGTGACCTGGGGCAGGATTCTGTCAGTAAGGTACCCAGAGCTGCGCCCCTTCCTCCATCTCCCATTCCCTTACCCACCGGGGTCTGGGTTCCAGCAGGGGTCTAGGGGTAAACCACTGCTATACTGTTCCACTGCCCCCCACCATATCTGAATGTCTCAATACAAAACTTGAAGCTCTTTTGACCAGCAGACTGGTGAGAGAAGAAAGTTGCTTATCCTCCCAGCCCCTGCTTCATACCATTCACATCCCAGAGCTGTGCCCAGACCAGGCCTATTGGGCAGCACAAGAGGGGCAAGGAGAGCCCAGCCCCAATCCCAGAATTCCTCCAAGCTCCCTGTCCTTTTGACGTTTTCACCTACCCATTCCAATTATCCTCATCCCTTTTCATCCCCTGCTTGGCTTCTCTGCATGTGGTCATCTGCTGTGGCCTGGTGTGTAATGGGTTAAAAATAAGCCACTGCCTGACATCCCAACATTTGACACCCCAGCAATGTGTGACTCCCCCCAACATTCCACTATGCCATCCTGCAGCTGAAATGGGAACACTGGCTGCCTTTCCAGCCCTAAACTCTTGGACAGAGGATCTGGGAGGTAGAGGCTATGCCAGAGAACTTGGGGAAAATGAGAGGAAGGGAAGAGGGAGACAAAGCTGGGCTAAAGCTGAACTCCTACTGAGTAAGATGAAAACAGGCTGAAGAAACCACCCCAGGAGAGGACCTCTCCCCAAGCAAGCCAATGAGCAGCCCTGCCAGACTATCGCCGGACTGAGAAATCCAGACACTCGTCAGGGCTCGGCTTCTCTGCCAAATGACTGTGTGGAAAATAATATGAGCCGGCCTGTGTTCTTCCTAGCTCCCACCCTCCCTTTGCTGCTGTGCTCTGCTCCTCCCCACACTTCCCTGCTGTAGTTCCCAGCTGCTGTAATGGAGCCGCCTCCAACTCTAACAATAAAATCAAGTTCATTACAGATGCTGTCGTGAGGCTTAGGCTTTTTCTGACTCTACACATTGCTTAGTTGCTGGACCTTGGCTTCTACCTCTCTGCTTCTCCTGGCACTGTCATTGATTTTGATGTCTTTGATAACTGGAAGCAGCTCCAGGACCCAGGGAAGCCAGAGAACATCGGGTAGATAAAGGTAGAAAAGATATGGGCAGCCAGCATAATTTCTGAAAATGAGAATGCCAGAGTATGAGGAATAGGGGCCTAGGGTGGGGAGATACATTTGGTTTGAGGGAGGGAAGAGGGGCAGGGTGTCTGGGAAGGGGATCTGCATACTCTTGACTTGGGGTCAAGAGCTGAGGACTGAATAGCATCAGATACCCTGGATAAGGGAACACCAAAGAGTCAAAGAGTTGAGAAGCCCTAAGAGATCCAGAGCCTATTGAGGTTGTCATGAGCACTCACCTGTGCATTTAGAATTTCCATGAAGTTAATGCTGGATTTTTCCCTTGCAGTGAAACCCTTTATAGTCGTAGGTATGTCAGGAGAGGCCAGGTTGTTAATGTAAACATATGGGGAAGGGGATATTCCAGCTCTCCCAGTGTGCTGGGCTTTCTCAGTGTAAATGTCAAGGAGGTAAAGAAAGACCATAACCCCTTTATATCAACTCCTCCTTGACACTCACCCCAAATCATCAGAGTGGAAAATTAAGAGGGTGAATCTAAAGATCTGGTGAGAAGGCAAGTACCCACTGCTGCTTCACAGAAATAGAAACTCTGTCCCCGACAACACTACTCATTTAAGACATTTTAGGATGGTGGGCTGACTGCCATAGGGCCCTCCTGGGATGCCTGATCTCTTTTAATGTTTTAAAATGTTTATTTATTTTTGAGTGAGAGAGAGACAGATTACAAGCAGGGGAGGGGCAGAGAGAGAGAGGGAGACACAGAATCAGAAGCGGGCTCCAGGCTCTGAGCTGTCAGCACAGAGCCTGACACGGGGCTCTAACCCACGAACTGTGAGATCAGGACCTGAGCCAAAGTCGGTCACTTAACCAACTGAACCACCCAGGCACCCCCCTGATCTCTTTATTCTATAGTTCCTTCCCACTCAACAATAGCAGCTTTTGACTGGTTCAAATTAATTCAGTCACACATGATTGATTTATAGTCATATTCATACTTGAATTCACAAGGACATCATCACCACCATCAACATTTTTATTATTTCATATTTATTGAGCACTCATAATGTTCTGGCCACCCCACTGCAATGACTGCATTATTCCTCCTACCCATGCCCATTCCCATCCCCATATCTTTGGGAAAAGCTTCATAATCACACCTGACCCTAAAGACATAACGATAAAACGAAAAACCTCTTGGGGACCCTGGAGTGTTTGGTCTTTGGCCAGTCTGTCCCTGGCACTACTACAGAAATATATATAATCTTTCCTCATGTCTGTACAATATTGATCTCTGCTGATTGCTTAAAATAGAACCTGATTTTCTCTGCTACAGCATCTCTTAAGCCAAGTAGCCCCACAACCAAAGGAGTCCCAGCTTCACAGATTGGCCAAGAACCCCCAGAGCATTTTAAGTAGTTACTCTTAAAATTTTCACAGCAATCTAATACCTATTTTTCCCTAGAGCTATTGCCCAGAGGAACACTACTGGGGCAGAGGGGGAACTTGCAATGTTATATAAAACACCCATAAACCCAATCTAAAGATTAATGGCCACAATGGATGTTTGTTTGGGAAAGGGACTCTCTTTCCGCCCCCCTCCCCAGACATTTCAGACAGCCATCCTAGGCCCACCTGAGGAGTGCTAGCAAAGACAAAAATTTTCCTGAATGCACATATGGTCTAAGGGTACCTTGAGAAGTTGTGAATATTTCCCCAGAAAGCGGAGACCCGGGAGTCCCCTTTTGCACTTGATGTCCCCAGATGGTGTCTTCAGCAGTTAAGTGGCATTTCCTTTAACAATCTGGAATTTCTTGGGATGCTCAGAGGACGTTGGGTAATGATACTTCAGCCCACCCCTTTATGGAAATCCTATTCAAGTCTAATGGCCATATGAGGAGTCAATGGTTGCTTTGAACATGAAATTGGCTCCCCTCCAAGCCCAGCTCGGGCACAGTTCTTGGCTTCATGCCAAGAGGACTGCTTCCTCAGACACCTCTGGTGAGATCCAAGGTCTTACACTGGTAGGTGAGTTACCCAACAGAAAAAGTTGCTAGCTCAAATAGCTGGTATAGTGTGACACCACTAGTGAGAACACGATTAATCACATGTTGCTGGTGGAAGGGGTGAGTGCTGGTTACAGGCTAGAGACTGGCTCTGAGGGTTTGGATCACTAGATTGATACTGGGCTTGGGGAATATCCTCTCCAGGCAGCTGGTCAGTCACCTCACGGACCACCCAGGACTGCTGATTAACCTCAGGGACCTCCTGTACCTGCAGATCATCCTCCCCAGGAAACTCTTGGGATGGTTTATCTACCTCAGGAATGTCCTGAGACAACAGATTGATTGCAGAAGCCTCTTGGATTAGCCTGCCAACCTCTACAAAGAACTGGCATGACTCGCTGAGCTCCTCAGGGATCTCTTGGGCTGGCTTGCCAACTTCTACACCAATTTCCTGGACCAGGCCACCAACCCCTACAGGGAACCCATGGGCCAGCCTGCCAACCTCCACAGAGACCTCCTGGCATGGCCGGCTGACCTCCTCAGGGTTCTCCTGGCAAAGATGGCAAGCTTCCTCAGAGATTTTCTGGCACAGTTGGCTCGCCTTCTGGCATGGCTGGTGGATTTGAGGGACCTCCTGGCATATCTGGTTAACATTATCATGATCCTTCTGGCATGGCTGGCTGATGACAGGGACCTCCTGGCATGGCTGGCTGAACTCTTCAGGGATGTCTTGGCATGGCTGGCTGATGTCAGGGACCTCCTGGCATGGCTGACTGATCTCCTCAGAAACTTCCTGGCATGGCTGGCTGGTTTCCACAGGTGGTTCTTGTGAAGACTGGCTTGGTTCAATAGGCTCTTGCATCCCTTCAATGGGGAACTCTTGTTCTCCATTCCCAGGGAGCATCCCAAGGCCTTGATGTTCTTCAATCATGTGTGAACTTACAGAAGGTTGATCACTGAAGCCAAAATGGCAGTTACCATCCACTGCAGTAGGGGAGGAAGGACCAGCACTGGACACAGTACTGGAAGGACCACTGCTGTCTGTAAAGCAAAGTCAGGAAACCAAGTCAGGCAAGCTGGAAGAGTAGGTTAAATTCTATGTATGTAGTCCAAATACCAGAATATACGGCCTATGTTAGTCATGTGTTGAGAAAAGAGGGTCTGATTCTTCCTAAGTTATGCAGAGGCTCCTAAATTAGCCCAGCTCAGGAACTGTTGGTCTGGCATAATGTATACTACAGGAGTATACAGGAGCACTAAGGTATATCTAAGACTTCAGAAGAGAGTGCTAAGGCCTACATCACCCAGTTCTTTCACAAATGTACCCCCACCCTAACTCCAAATTCCCACTGTCCCTCATTCTTACTTTGGAAGCATATCAACGCTGTATTCCAGTGGTTCATAATCAGGGGTATGTACCAAAACTATGGAATATTTAAAAAAATAAAAATTTCCAGGTTCCATCTCCAGAAATTCTAATTCTGTAGGTTTAGGGTAAACGTGTGGGGTAGAGGGGGAAAAAGGCAATATATTTTATTGAAACACTCCCCATTAAACCTGATGTACATCTTTTGTTAAGAATCATTTTTTTAAGACAATCAGCTTATTTCTGCGGCAAAGGTAATCATTCTTTATAGCCCAAGAGATAAGTAAGCAGGAGAATGTAGCAAAATCTTGTGAATCAGAACAGCAGGAAGGAAAATTACCTGAAGATGGAAGACTGCCATGGAATCTAAATGGCAGAAGTTCTTAATTAACCCTTCTAGGGGTCACTGAACTCTTTGAAACTTTAATGAAAAGTCACAGATTATCTTCTTAGAAAAATGTACAGAAAGGTATGCATATGGATATTCATACTATCTTCACAAATAATTCTTGGGGCTCAAAGACTTTACCCTGAAATCCATCCTGGATCCAAGGTTAAGACTTCTAAGTCTTGGAACACATACAGGTTTATGGATGTTATAGACATATACAACAACAACAACAAAAAACTAATTAGCTAGATACTGACAGTAATAAAATGAAGGTCTTAGAGTCTTCAATTACACTGTGGGACAATTCCTACCCCAATCTCTACTTCATTGACCTCTAGTAGCGGACTAATCTACTTTTCCTTTTATAAATGTACTTATTGATAGTATTGTAATTTCATATATAAAACACTGTGATACCAATAATGATAGATTTTGGAAATAGGAAACCTGAATATCCTGTCATCAAGGAGAACCTGGGAAAGTTGGCAAGCCTGAGACTGCAAAGGCTGAATCAGTCATTGAGTTTAGGGTATGCCAGTTCTCTCTTTTCTGTACAGGACCACAGGAAGCATGCTTCAAGCAGGAAAGAAAGAGGAACATGGTTTGGGCCACCAAAGCCTATTTAGGGCAGACAACCCCTAAAGAAAACATTTACCAATGAGGCTACACATCTCATACTGAGTCCAAAGTCTGATGGTAGATTAAAAACAAGAAAAAAAAAGTTTACCCAAGGATAGAAGTAGCTTTAATATTCAGCTAGTGGTCTGATTCGGGCAAATCAAAGAGGATAGACAGAAACAGAAGCAGGAGAAAAATAAGGTTTCCAGAGGCAGCCAAAGCAATCTTGAGAAAGAACAAAGCTGGAGGTATCACAATTCCAGATTTCAAGATATACTATAAAGCTGTAGTAATCAAAATAGTACTGACACAAAAATAGATTCATAGATCAATGGAACAGAATAAAGACCCATGCTTATATGGTCAATTAATCTGTGACAAAGGAAGCAAGAATATACAATGGGGAAAAACATTCTCTTCAATAAATGGTGTTGAAAAAACTGGAAGGCTACCTGCAAAAGAAGGAAACTGGACCACTTTCTGACACCATACACATAAAACAAACTCAAAATGGATTAAGGACCTGAAGCCATAAAAATCCTAGAAGACAGTACAGGCAGTAATCTCTCTGACATTGGCCAAAGCGACATTTTTCTAGATATGTGTTCTGAGGCAAGGGAAACAAAAACAGAAATAAACTATTGGGACTATACCCAGATGAAAAGTTTTTGCATAACAAAGGAAACCATCAACAAAACAAAAAGGCAACCTACAAAATGGGAGAAGATATTTGCAAATGATAGATCCAGTAAAGGGTTAGTATCTAAAACACATAAAGATGGCACAAAAACAGACACATAGACCAATGGAATAGAATAGAAACCCCAGAACTAGACCCACAAACGTATGGCCAACTCATCTTTGACAAAGCAGGAAAGAACATCCAATGGAAAAAAGACAGTCTCTTTAACAAATGGTGCTGGGAGAACTGGACAGCAACATGCAGAAGGTTGAAACTAGACCACTTTCTCACACCATTCACAAAAATAAACTCAAAATGGATAAAGGACCTGAATGTGAGACAGGAAACCATCAAAACCTTAGAGGAGAAAGCAGGAAAAGACCTCTCTGACCTCAGCCGTAGCAATCTCTTC